TCTTAACGACTTTGGTCGTTCAATCTACCTTCCGAAAGTGAATCATCAAGGCTTTAAATCATTTCATTTATAAGTTTGGGTACGCAGTAGTACTCATAACCGAAAAAAGCTTTGGCAGTCATGCAATTTGCTCTCTTAAGGACCGACTGAACATAACATTTGCTCAAACATCAGATTACATCCGCTTTCAGACTTTAGATCTTTTTACGTCGTCCCGAATGAACGCATTTTGTTTCATTTTGCGAGCTGCACGCATATAATCCAGAGCTTTTGCATCTCATGCTTGAGAAGCAGTTTCGTATTTTCCTCGGTATTTTCGCAGTTTTCTTTCGCACTGAAACGATAATTTAACCTGAATAGATCGAATGCTGAGGTCTGAATCCTCTCGTGTAATATTCCCAAAAAAACAATTTAATGAAATATATCAATTAATAAATTTATAGGTAGCTCGTTATTTTTCTACTCTGGGCCGCATTTAAGAAAAAATCTGTTTATCTGACAAAAGAGAGATTAAGACAGTTCTTATATTTCGGCAAAGACACGAGGTCAAGGCGTTGCACGAATTCGACAAGTTACACAGTCATGATAACTTGCTTGGGACTTACTCTCTAAAGAATACAAATGTTCTGCAGTTTTTGGTCATCCAATGTGTGACTCATTGTTGCATACTACCGACTCTTCTGAATTTTGACGCCTTCATGTGATCAACAGCGTACTAAATGCCATCCAATTTAAGACTCAGTTGCTCAGTTTTTACTGAACACAAAAGGCTCTTTTTGTTCAAAATTTGGCCTAAACTTTTATCGTTCTTTATGCCAACATCCATTTGTGCATGGTCACCGTGGTGGTCGATTCGTCTTCCCGATAGAGGTTAATTGTTGATATATATGGTTTGGACGCGCTATCAGAAAGATAAGAATATCTGGAGTCAGTATAACAGTGCATCATTGCACGACACCACGAAGAAACTATCGTGCATCGTATCCTTTCTTAAACTCGTTGAATCAGAAGCGCAAGGTAACCTTTTAGTACCCGCACGCCCGCGCATATCGATCACATTTTCAGATATGACTGCTATTGTGAGCGACATGAGAATCAAGTTGAGCAGAGGTCAACCAAACATGTTGCGCAGCTTCGCGCACACTACTGCAGTGCACTGGCGATTGCTTATGGCTCAATCAAAGCACTGTCATTGAGTGTGCATATATCGAAAAGGCCTAATGCGGAAACCCACGACTGTTCGCCATTTTCGGCAATGTACCTGCTCCCATCAAAGCAAAGTTCAGTCGGTGGCTGGTAAAGCGGTGAATTTTTCTGAATCTCAGGGTCAAGCTGTTATACCATTATAAATACTATAATAAGCTAAAGCAATCCGCCGATTATATTCGAGAGATCTAAACCCTTTGTTAGAGTCAGGCAATCGTAAGGTTAGTATATTTTCAAAAACACAGTTTGCCTATTATGACCTCAACTGAAGCACCACTAAACTATCTGATGATAATGTAACGTGAAAATTAATTTGAAAATTGAACTGAGCTACTACAGTCAAGCCCAGTCATACTTAATGACGTGAGTCGTAGCGTGTACGATAGCAAGATACGCTGTATCGTTAGCCTGCCTGATATTCAAAATAAACCAGTAGGCCTGATGCGATGTCACATTAACCTTACTGATAACGGTGACCGACATTCTTGCATATTATCAATCTTTTGGCTGATTGGAGATGTCAAGCATGCACAATAGTTTGCACTGACAGTTTCATAATAGCTACTGCGCATGTCATTCTTTGCTGCTTCCATTGATCTTCTGGATGAGCGCGATATTTGAAACTTTCGTAAATGGCTGGTCAATGATTTAGTGACAGATGATGATAATCTGTAGCACCCGGATTGGTTAATTAATATATACGTGAACTTCATCTGTCGTTTTCCCCTTAAAGTTGAAAATATTGCTCGGTAATTGTGAAGTAGAAGGCGCCTGTGTTCTCGCCTTGCCGCTGAGTATTTTCTCATGGCTTTGACGATGCAGACGCACGTGGACCGGGTAAATATGTCAACATCAACTTCCCCACTCTCATTGCAAGCTACACCCGTTCCCTCGCCGACACAATTGCAATTGACACGTAAAACTCTTAAGATGAAGAAAAAGAGCGAAGCATCCAGCAGCGCACTAGTATTGGTGGGATTAATTTTTCTTGGTGTATTATTCGCGCTTGTTGTTATGGCCTTCTTTGCCTACGCTCCACTTTTGTGTGCGTCGTGGATTGGAATTATGTATGTCATCGGACTATACCTGTCTACAGAGTCTTCAAAGTGGCGTTGGCATGATGCACAGGAGTTTGAAAACCGCTTTTGGACCGGCACCGCATTTTTATTTAGCGCTGCAGTGCTATATGTGAAAGACTCGCCACTTGCAGTCGGCCAATGGAGCTCAACGCTTGGCTTGGTACTCGTTTTTATTTTTACAATGAGTGTGCATTTTTTCGACAGGTTCCTGCATAGGCAAGAAATCAGTCGTCGGCCGAAGCTAAAGGAAGCATCCAGGCAATTTTCACAAAATTTATTTAAATACAAAGCCACGGCAGAAGAGAAGACTCTTCTTGTAATGGAGTGCGTGAGTCGCATCGATCGTCATTATTTACCCAGTACCATCAACAATATGATAAATTTCGCTGAAGTAAAACGACGAGAGCTTAAAATCTATCGGATTCTTGCAGGAGCGGGCAAGGACGAGCTAAATTACATTTTAAACCATATTCAGCTCGCACTGCTTTTCTACAAAGTGAAGGACCATTCAAATGTGCGCGAGGATCAAAGTCGCACATTAATTCTTGATTTGTTGTGTACCACACGATTGGCGGATTTGTCTGTCATGTCCCGAGCAGTGTTGTTAGACGCACTAATGGTAATGAAGATCAGTGCTCATCCCATGGCTCAAAAGTGGGTTCGCAATATTATTTTAAAGACGCAGGGCGACGATTTAAGCAATTTAAAGACTTACACCGATGCAAAAGGTGATTTTCATAGTATGCACAAATTAGTTTTTAACGATGTCCGGGACCCGATAATTCGAGCTGATATTCTGAGCCACATACAGCGCGAAGCTAGCGTACAAATTGCGCACTCACGATTGGGAACGAAGCGGGGTCGAAATCGTAAGCAGCAGGCATGGCGAAAGGTGTTGAGCGATGTGGACGATACGCTGTATTCTTCAGGTGGACGTTATCCAGCAGGTTTGGACACACGATTTCCTCGACACACTTTGTATCCAGGTGTTCTTCCATTCTATCGTGAACTTGATATGGGCACAGTGGGGCCAGACGATTGGACAGACGATCGAATTGGTAATTTGGTGTTTATCTCCGCTCGACCACATGTTTACAAGGATGTATCCGAGAAAAAGTCGTACGCTAAGTTTGCAGCTTTGCACGAAAAGATGGGAATGCACACGCTGCCCACGCTTCTTGCTGGCAATTTGACATCAGGCCGCGCTTTTATGTGGCAAGGGGACCTAGAACCTATGGCGCAGAAAAAGTTTGAAAACTTTGGCGAATTTTACCAACTGTATCCGGAATTCAAGCACGTTTTTGTTGGTGACAATGGTCAAGGTGATGTAAGAGCAGCGGAGTTAATTGTAGAGAAATTTGGACCTGATGTGCTAGAAGCCGGCTTTTTTCATCGCGTGCAGCCTTTGGAAAAGATGTTTAATTATCATTCGAAAGAAGATTTGGTCCGTTGGCGCAAGATGAATATTTTCTTTTTTGATACGTACGTGGGTGCAGCAGTCGAAGCATATGGCATGAAAATGATTCGACTTAGCGGACTAAAAAAGATCTGCGATGATGCTGGCCAGTCATTTGAAGCTATTCAGACGTGGCTCACTTCGCAAAGTCGGGAACGTGCGAGGCTCCTGTTGAATCGTGATCTTGGCACGGCAAATGCATTTCTGTCGAAAAAATTTGGCCCTACTTCTCTAGTTATAAAACCTCAAGTGTTCGCTTTAAATGACATCGTTCGCACGCCGATCGGTCGTGGTATCGTTCGTAAATATCGCGGTATCGATGGCATTTATCACGTAGATTTGACTGATTGGCCACCATCAGGAAGCAAAAAACGCGCGCAAGCATTTTTACCGGATGATAGCCTTGTAAGCTGTGAATGTTTGGCATCTTCGGGTCTTTCTAAAAGCTCAATTAAATACGTCAAATTTCATCGCTCGCCTCCTGCCCGGATATTTGCTTCACATTCTCTAGTGAAAACGCTTTTTGGTATCGGTCGTGTGATATCTTATCGCACCGAAGACAATATATATGCGGTGTCAATTCCTGGAGACCAAACAATGCTGCACATAACGGCATTTTTGAACGAGAATTCGCTGCAACCTGTGGAAGATGAATATATTCAAAATTATGCTACGAGTGATCAGACGTCTCCGCGAATTTTCGCTGGTGTGCGATCCGGCATCGGCTTTATTACAAAAAAATTAATCACGTTTGTTCCCAGTGGATCTGTAACCAAGCCATTGTTTGCTGAGACGATGGTCGTTGATTCGCCGTTTGGACGTGGTGTCGTTGTTCATTTTCGTGACAAAGATCGCGTTAACGAATTGCGATTGTTTAATAGCGATATTAGAACTCAGAGTGGTGAGCTGCCATCGCTAACTAGCGCATTCGTACAGGAGCGATACCTTCAGCTGTCACCGGTATCCCCACCTCGACGCTTTCTTTCTATGCTTCGATTGGGTTCCAGCAAAAGTGCAACAGTGCTACCCGCTGGACCTGTTTCGACTGGCTCCGACGCAAATACACCATACGGAAGGGCTATCGTTAGGAGTTATCGAGAAGAAGATGAGGTGTACGTACTAGAGCTGACTGACTGGGCTATGACGGCAAAGAATCCCGTGGTGGCCCATCTCAGGAAAGACTTTGTTAGTCTTAATGTTCAAGCTGCTCCAGCGCTTGCATTTGCTTCAGAGATGTCTGTCAAAAAAAAGGGACCTGCATCTTCAGGAAGTCACGGGTTCTTTCAAATGTTTAGATACGGTTTCTCGACGCGCGCTTCAACGCAAACGATAAGGAATCCATACGCAAATGAGATTGGTATCAAGCGATATATCGACACAGTTTTCGGGGTAGCCAACACAAGCATGAGCAAGCCATACCATGGATGTCTGAAGGCTACTTTGGTAAACCCAAATTTCAGCTGTACTGTAGCTTATGTTCAGGCCAAAGAAACCCAAGAGATTGTGCAGGCCCCCACGCCAAGAAGACGCAACACATTAGAATTGCTGGTGAAAAAACCGCTTATTTACTTAATATCGGGATCCGACGAGAACATCACCTCGGGGAGTCCGATTTTACCGGAGACTATATTTGCAAAAGGGTCTTTCGTAGTGACGCCATTTGGGGAGGGTGTCATTCGCACACATCGTCGCGTCGACGACATGTACATTGTGGACTTATCAGGAGTGTACGGATACTTTCATGTTACTAGCCTACGACGACCTGTGCGTGGTGTTGTGGGACAGCCAGTTGATACAATTTATGGATCAGGTGTGCTCGAAGACGTGCGAGAGAAAGATGGTGTGCATGTAGTTGTCTTAAGGCTCGGACTGACGTCCGCTCAAGCTCACGCATACCTAAATCCATCTAGTGTAATCGGAGCAATCAAAGCTTCACGTGGCGATGTAGTTATGACTCCTTTTGGTTCAGGCATTGTGATGCAGTATCGTCCGTACGATGGCTGCTACCTCGTCTCACTTGACTGGAATACGGAAGGTCATAGTCACGTTTCAGCTTACATTAATAATGATAAGATCGTGCGCACCGGATCGATCAAAAGTGGCTCAAGTGGCTGCATCGTCATGTAGACGGTACTGTTTTGAGAGATGGGCATGCCTAAAATTTCACTTTTCAATTTTGATATCCAACAGAATTTTTGTTTTAAAATTATTATGCTAGATATCCATTTATTCATAAGTGCTTCGATACAAGTACACCTTGGTGTATTTGGCAATGATTTCCCTTGCGAACGGACCGATTACAATTCCCAGCTTCGCACCGCCGGCCACCTCCATGCGAGATGCAGTATCCATTTCCACGATCTTTCTTCTTGCAGCCATCCATAATGCAGCGACGGATACCACCATGCAGGTAACATAGACCAAGTCGTTGGGTACCTTTGGAGCACCCAGGCACGCGGCACTTCTTACCACCTCCATGAGCCCGACAAAGACCTCCACCTTGTGAGCTTTTGCCACAATTTTCCACTTGACATCGTGCTCCGCCACCGTGGGTCTTGCATCGATTGTTAGATTGCGCCCTGCGTGCGCATCCTTCTGTTATGCACTGCTTTGCTCGTCGCGTGCTCTTTGATTTCGTAGAATGCACAGATGTTATCAATGAATTGGATAAAGTGTTTGAGTTGATGCAAAGAGTCGGTGGGGGCAATGGCACTGTGCCTAAATGCAACATATTTAACGGTAGTGGATTCGTACGGCCAGGAGTGACCGAAATCGTAAGGGAGCCTGAGTGGTTTGGTGGCTGAAGAGAAGTTTGAAACGCTCTCAAATTTAAACCGGCAATGTCACTCCACGACTCGCGAATGAAGGAGTCGACAGTTGGCGAAAAGCCGGGCATAGTGCCTTCCTGTTTGATGTACACATCAGCCCCAACCGGAGTTTCACTGCTGCTTTGCAATTTCACGTCAGGCTGCAAATATGAGGTAACACCCACAGACAATCCTTGCCCACTTGCACTTATCATGCGGTGCCCACTTGTGGCAAGTGGGGACTCTGGACTCCGAGGATTAAATGAATCGCTAAGTCCATTAAAGTGCAACTCCACGTTGTCGGGGTCTTCGGTTCGGAAAACTGCGCTGTCAAGCATCATCATCGTGCTTTCAAAATCTTCATCATCCAGTAAATCCATTGTAGCTGGCGAGTTGAAGATATCACCAATGTTGTAGCTGCTGATTGTAATTGGTGAAAGCTGTGGATCCATGATGTCTAGTTTACTATTTTACAGGGGTATTTGGAAGCTACGGACGGTACGGAGCGAAAATTGGAGTGAGGGAGAAGCGATGGTAACTGCAGCTACACTTCGAGTGCCTGTTAAGCTTGATGCGAATGAACCTCACACTGCAATCTCAATATACATGCTGTGTTTCTTCCAGCGATTTCCGAAGGGCAAGATGCCCAGGACGAAATCCTGCTTCATGTTGTACACACCAATCTGCGTCCTCGCTTTTGCTTGAATAATTCATGGTAAGTTTTGAAATAACAATTTGCAAAACAAGAGAGAGATTTAAGTGACGACGGCACATGTTTCTGACTAGCTAGTGTACTATTGTAACCATTGATTGCAGTTGTGTCCTTAATTGCGGCAATGAAAGCTACAGACATAGATGGCAGAATTTAGCTTTATGTCTTACTTCGACAATTTTTATATATCAAACAAATTCAAAAATGTCACCGAAAGCGAGACAAATCGCACTTAAACGCGTCAAAAAATGCAAGAGATAAAACGAAAAAAAAACACCACTGAATTCTCTTCTCACAGAAAAGGGATTGCTGATGCTGAGAGCAATATCTCGAAGACTATGGCAACAGTAGAATAAATTTCATAGCTCTGGGTACTGATTCCTGATTCGCTCGACAACGTTCCCTGGAAACTTCACTCAATGAATCATTTTGCTCGACAATGGCGCGTGAAAATAATTTTCTCAGTATGGCAGAACATCTAAAGATAGTCATCAGACTAGTTAAAAGAGGTATTGACTACCCAATATTCAGAAAGTCTTTTCGCCGGATCACGAGCACACTTTCTTGCTCAAGAGCAAAATCCCAACGGCAGTTTACACGACAATGAAACAGTAGAGAAGCCGTGTTAAAAGCCATCCACGTCGCTTCGCCGTCGAACAGCATTACACGCCAATTTTAGAGAATCAGACGTTGTCCTATGATGCTTGACTTTGCGAAATATAAACAGCATGTGCCCGTTGAGATGGGTGCTTATCTCATTAGGCCCTTGCTGTCAATATTGCCCACCCCACAAGCCAGCTATTACAGCTACCGTTCAAGGCTCAAGCTTGGAAATTCGACAGGATTCTAGGAAGCGTGTTGTGCATGGCAACCCCTTGGGAAAATAAGGACCGAGAGTGTCGTTTGAGATTAAAAACTAATTTTAATAATGACTATTACGGAAGCAGAGATGAGGTACGAATGCTGTTAAGGATCAAATTCACATCACACTTTTGTCATGTCGTTGCACTGTCGTTAATCTGGTGACTGAGACTTGAACAGATGGTATCTTTCGAGAGAATGGTAACGTTGACATATCTTCCCGCGGGATCAAGACAAGCCTACGATAGAATACGAACAGCGTTGTTGGTTGTCAATACGAGGTCTCAAGCATTTTGAATACATCTTAAATTCTGATCGATCCGTTTGACGTGTGACCACCAAATTGTAGATAGTGCGCGGGGATATTGGTGAAGAATACGATACGCCGGCTTTTCTCGACGAAAACACTAATGCTGTGTCACAAAAACTTTAGATGTTGTCCATGAGATTCAAGAGCTGTATGATCTTAAAACTATGTCTCGTCCAAGTTAGAATTTTGGTTACATCTTGTATGTGGAGTGGCTGGAAAGCTCTTTGCAACTTTACATGACTCAGCAGGGGCTCTACGAAATGACGCGTTTCTCGCGACTAGAATACTAAACAGTACCCCAAAGATATTGATCGCAGCAACTCTCCAAGTTCTCACCGGAAAATAACAAACTAATGTTTGTACTGAAGATGAGGTGCTCACTGCGATTCGCCCCCTGTACGCTCGAGTTGACGATATTCAACCCCCTTATCAAAAGTCGATAAGGTTTTGCGACAACCAGCCGGAAAACTCTCGACGATATCCAGCTAGCCACTAATGTGCTAGATTTAAGTCAGCAAGTACAGGAATCATGCTAACTCGTACCAAATTCACCACACCGTAACTACGTCTTTAAACTACCGAAACACCGAGCAAAAGTCCTTACGTCTACGCTTGTGAACCTTTTGCCCAGAGGAAGAGCAATGCGAGCGCCAGAAACTCGCTTTTTGAGCGCTTTCTACACCCATTAGTCATCACGCATCAAAAGTATCCCATGCGCATAGAGCAACAGTAGTCGGGCAGATCCACAAAATAATGGTCAATGATATGCAGTATTTTTGCCGTTTTGGAAATTATCTGAATGACAGCATACAACCACCTTACTTGGCAAATCGTGTGTGGTTTAGGTTTGTCCGCCTGTCAGGAGAGGATATATATTGCCGGCTATGTTAAGGAGTTAAAAAAGTCGGCCAGTATTAAATCAAACTCCATCCACGAATTGTAAAAAGCATCTCATTATGAGCGGCCATGTGCGAATATGTCTCAAAACATAAACATGCGAGTATCATTTTGTAGCAAAAAACACTGCGTATCGCATTATTCGTGCCGGTAGGATTGCGTAGAGTGCAGGATCGGAGGGATTATACCGAGTCAGATGTGTTTATTCAAATAAAGCTGGGAAGATGGATAACAATCATATAACTATCGGAAAGCAACTTGCTCCCACTGATGTTATATAGGTACCGGGTCGAACATTTACGCCCTAAGTGTCTCATTCTACTGTTTGAGAGGTTAAATTAGACAGGTCCTCACTTAAGTAAATTGTAAATGTTGAGTTTGAGCTGCTGCAAAGCTGCCTACAATAACAAAACTCAGTTCTATCTTATCGCGTGGAAGTCGACCTTATAGATCTAGCGACACCTTTGAAATACAGAGGTGATAGCAGCCTAGGGCTGTTAGTTCTGAATGTTCACGTCCACGGGTTTGCAAAGCTAGGGTAACATCCAGGAAGGCCGTGCAAATACGTTCGAAACGACACAATGGAAAACAAGCCCAAGTATTGAAGATTATACAGTATCCGTGCGTCTTGAGACCAGGACAAATGTTAAAGATCCATTTAATTTGTTCGTCAAGTTTAAGCACTTTGCACGTGTAATATGATGCATAGCCCAAGATATAAATTATCATACGATCTAATCTTAGCTGCATCGTAGCTGTTACGCCTTGAGACAAGAATCAAGAAAAAATTGATTGAAATCAATCTTATAGAGAATCTGTCGAGTCATAAACCAACTCTATTCTAAAGCAGAGCATGATGAAGAAACACTGTAGACTGATGTCTCCTGTGTCAGAGCATATTACGGAGACCAACTGCTAGGCGCAAGAAAAGAGCCACACTCTGAAGTTATTGGCGATGTCCTTCATTTGTCATGATGAAAATGATACTTACTACCGAGCGATTCTGATACCGCACGGAGCAGTGTAGCACCATGTAGAAAGCTAACAATTCTTCAACTGAATAGCAAAAATAATCGTAGAGGCAGGAAGTCTTCCCTTATTATCTCGCGCAGAAGATCTGATTGAGCTCGAATAACTATCCTTAGGTACTGTTCCAAAAGTGTTGCATAATGGTGAAAACAACATAATTTTGTGGAGGAGGAGCTTATATTAGCATTCGTCATAAACGGTTCCGTTACTTAATCAGTTGTGCAGAGCTTTGAGTTGCGCAGATCTTTGATGCGAGGAGTAGAATGGCTAGCTTCAAGAACCCGACGGGTCAGTTTTTTCATATGATAGATATGGAACACGACGGCGGATAAGCAATCCACCACGCGTTTTGATTTATTATCTGAAAGCGTCATGAGATCGGTCTGATTTTATTTTAAAATGTTGTCGACAATGTCTCTTATAGTTCACATTGTGATGTCATCACAAATCGGGTTTGAGAGAGAGCGCAATTTGCACCCTCGGGGCCGACCCGGTAAAATGGAGGGTTTTAAAATAAATGCTTATAATAAGCTACATCCGTCACTATATCCATACAAGCGCTTTGATTATGCTGCAAATCAGCATTCATAGCAACGTGTGCACAGCAAACGAGCATGATGCATTGCAACATGTTAAGCTCTTGATTAGCTTGTTAAATACTCGACTTACCTTGGGATCCAGTGGTATTCCTCTTGCTGTAGTGTACTCTAAAGTGGGGTGGGTGGGGTGCTATAGGAGTGGCTTGTTATGTACCATGGACTCTCTGACGCACATGCTGAGTTTGACCATCTGGCGATACAGCTGCATAGGCTGCATTGTTCAGATGCATGGAATTTATTTGAACTAATCATTCGTCTAAAGTCACGCAAAAGACTTGATAAATTCATACTGAACACTTGTGAGAGCTTCTATAACGTGTCCACTCCAATAAGCTATTTGCCGATACAGATCAGTCTTTTCTTGGCGCTGACATAAGCATTGGCTTTTAGGTAGCTTAAGCACTAGATGGCAAAATGCAAAGTGAATATATAAAGGACCTTAGTTCGCAGTGCTACCTCTAAGCCTATCTAGAATATTCTACCAAATATTCAACTGGATTCTTTA